CCTTTTTATTTTGCGTGGATTTACACCTAGTTGTCAGAGATAATTTTGCTATAATAAAAAATAAAAAAAGAATCTTTTAGTTGGCGGACGTTCGCTGAAGAGAGTGACATTTCGAACAATTTCCGTTGCAATTTTAGCTGTAGGGTGACATATTTTGAGACTAGCTAGCATGACAATTTCATCCTAGAAGACACTTTCAGATTTTTTTTAAATGTCATCATTTAATCTTGATTAAACGGCTGCGAGGACGTTCGTTGGGAGTTACTTTGCAGCGAACATTCACCAGTTAACGGAAAAGAAAAGACTGGTCCGGCGAACGCAGAGCCCGGAGCCGATACGAACCAGGTTTTTTTTTTTTGAGGATCACACGGTCATTTTATTGCTCTATAACAGGAAGTACAATAGAGGGATCCCATGGCTGGAGTAGCCATAGGAATCGACCATGTTCGAGTGATAAAACACTTTTCACAAGATTGTGAGCTTCTATGTTTGTTGCTCTACCCTCGTGCACAAAATTAACATTAAGAAAATGTCTCGATCGCACCTTAATCTCCGTAAGAACCGAGCTATACTCGCATCTACTACCTTCATTGATGTTCTTGATAACTGTGGAAGCATCACATGCGATAATAACTTTCTGAATGTTTAAATCCTCCGCCAAAGTCAGCGCTTCACAGCATGCTATTGCTTCAAGAGTTGCTGGGTCGGTGCAATTGTTCAATACCCTCGCTGAAGACCCCAGGTACTTCCCTGTATCATTCCTGCATATGACGGCAGCTGCTCCCTTTGATCCTATCTTGTTTGTACCACCATCAACATAAATTTTGGCCCAGCCCTCCGGCGGTGGCCTCCATCTCGGCGCTGCTGCTTGTAGATTTGGAGCAGCTTTATCCAGTTTTGTGTTCACCATTTGAAGGTCGGCAATGAGACTGGTAACAAAACCATGAATAGTCACCGGGCTTTGGTAGATAGATTCATGAATTGCCTTTCGGCGCGCACCCCAGATCGCCCAAAGTGTCAATAAAATTTTGATGAATTCTTCATGTGTTGTAGTCTCCATCATGTGGAACAGCCACTCCTTCGCATCCGAGCAAGAATTCATGCACATGTGCTCTATGAGGGATTCATCAAGTAATGCCCAAACACAACGTGACATGGTACAATCTATTAACGAATGTCTCCAAGAGTCATTCTCTGCTTGACAAATAACACATCGAGGGCTAGTGGTCATTTTCCGATGATGCATCTCTGAGCCCGAAGGGAAAGAGTGTTGTGCGAGCCGCCAAACAAAGACTCGCACTTTAGATGGCACCTTGATCTTCCATAGTTGTGACCATGCCTTTTCCGCCCTGTTCGAACTAGTGCTTGGTCTGCCTTCAAGCCAATCTTCCCTAACTTTTTTCGTTGTTACCATCATTCTGTACGCTGAACGGACAGTGAAGTTACCAGACTTTTCGTGATGCCATGCCCAGAAATCAGTCTGCGATGACGTGCTGATCGGAATGGCGCGAATAGCTTGTACGTCCATGGGCAAGAAAACTCTCTCTAACTCTGCCATATTCCACTGGCAAGAAGTCGGGTCAATTAGTTCGGCCACAAGTTCTGGTGTGTCTGATACTAGGGCTGCCACTGGTCTGAGCCTTTCGGTCCTCGGTATCCAATTATCTCCCCATATTTTCGTTGCTGCACCATTGCCTATTCTCCTGATCAAACCAAGCTTTAGCATGTCTCGTCCTTCAACTATGGCTCTCCACACTTGAGATGGAGAAGAGCCTAACGATGCTTCCATGATATCTGACAAAGGGAAATATACTGCTTTAATTATACGCGCACTCAGGGTCTTCGGAAACTGGAGAATGCGCCATGCTTGGCGCGCTAGGAGGGCCAAGTTGAATAATTCAAAATCCTTGAATCCTAGTCCGCCCATATATTTTGGCATCGTCATAGTGTCCCATGAGACCCAGTGTGGTTTCCGCTTGCCATTCTTGCTTCCCCACCAGAAGCTTCTTATCATCGAATTTAACTTCTCACATAGACCTCTAGGCAGTTTAAAGCAAGCCATCGAAAAAGTTGGAACTGCCTGTGCAACTGACTTTATAAGCACCTCTTTGCCCCCTGCCGAGAGGATTTGCTCCATCCATCCTTGGATCCTGTTCCACACCCTGTCCTTTAGATATTTAAACGTACCATTCTTGCTTCTTCCAACATCCGAGGGCATACCCAAATATCGCTCATTCAAACTTTCATTAGGAACATCCAAGATTACCTTGATACTTTCTCTGATAGTGTTTGGACATCCCTTGCTGAAGTGAATAGAACTTTTTGCAAAGTTAATTCGTTGTCCCGAGGCCTGACAATAGATCTCTACCACTTCTTTAATTGACGTTGCTCCTTCGGTGCTTGCTTTTGCGAATAACAGGCTGTCATCTGCAAATAAAAGATGATTGACCGGGGGTGCTGTGGGCGCCACAAGGATGCCCGATAGGTTTTCCGAGTTCCCCCTGCTCCTTAGAAGGCAAGAGAGACCTTCAGCTGCTAGCAAAAACAAATATGGGGAGATGGGGTCTCCTTGACGAATCCCCCTAGACGGTTTAAAGACCTCCATCCTCTCCCCATTGAACAACACCGAAAAAGTTACTGATGTCACCACTTTCATTATGGAAGCGACCCACCTGTCGCTAAAACCCAACTTCAACATTATGGCCTTGAGATAGTCCCATTCCACCCTATCGTAAGCTTTCATCATGTCTAGTTTCAAGGCGCAAAATTGCGAGCTCCTGCCTCGCTTCTTCTTCATAAAATGCAAACACTCATACGCAGTTATAATATTGTCTGTGATGAGCCTCCCTGGCACCAACGCAGACTGCTCTTCAGAGATTATCTCTGGGAGTATCCGCTTTAGCCTATTTGCTTGCACTTTATAAACAATTTTGAGAATAACATTGCACAAACTAATTGGCCTAAATTGGGTGAGAGATGATGCATCTGAAACTTTGGGAATGAGAACAAGTAAAGTTTGGTTAGCCTCACCAATTTCTTCAACTCCGTTTAAAATATTCAATACTGCCTTAGTCACTTCTTCCCCACATATGTCCCAATGACGCTGAAAAAAATGTGCTGGAAAGCCGTCAGGTCCTGGCGCCTTGGTCGGAAACATTTGGAACAATGCCAACTTGACTTCCTCCGCTTTATACGGTGCGTTTAGTGATAGGTTCATCTCTGGTGTTACTTTCCTTGGGACACAGGAAAGCACTCTCTCCATACCCATTGTACGTTCAGAAGTATACAATGCCTTATAGAAATTCACAGAGTGGACCTTTAACTGTTCGACATCCTCACAAAGAGACCCATCAGGCAACTGGAGCCGTTCTATCCGGTTCTTTTTTCTCCTTTTGCTCGCTTTCTGCTGAAAAAATCGGGTATTACTATCTCCCGCCGAAAGCCACTGGATGCGTGAACGCTGTTTTTGCATGATCTCCTCACGATGGTACCATTCTGTGAGCTTCTGAGTAATATTGACTTCTGCCTCTGAAGGTCCCACTCGATCTGGTATCGAACGAAGCCTTTCCAGTTCAGTTTGTAGTCTATTTATCTCCTTTTTTACCTGACCGAACACGCTGCTGTTCCAGCCCAATAACTCCCCCGAGATCCTGTTTAATTTATTACCCAACGCAAGCATAGAACTGGATGGTTGACCTGAGCACCACGCCTCTGTAATAAAAGGGGTAAAAGCTTCATGCGTCTCCCACATCAGTTCATATCTGAAGTGCTTCTCTTGTGCTCTTCTCTGCTGGGTAGGTTCAGTTAGCTGCAAGAGAATTGGGCTATGGTCTGACCGGGCAGTCGTGAGATGCCGGACACTTGCTGAATTGAAACGCAGCCACCAGTCGGTCGTTGCAAGGGCACGGTCAAGGCGTACCCGTGTATAGGACCCGCCCCTCACTTTCTTTTCAAAAGTCCATGAAGGACCAATAAAACCCAAGTCGCATAGACCAGCGACATCAACAGCTTCCCTGAATCCCGTCATCTGCCTCGGATTTCTTTCGCCAACTCCAAAATGTTCGTCTGCCGATAATACTTCGTTGAAGTCGCCAATGCATACCCAGGGCAGGTTGGATTCACTTCGGAGGAACCTCAGCAGGTCCCAAGTCTTCTGTCGTTCATTGACATTTGCTTCACCATAAATGCAGGTTATCCGCCATGGTTGTTCCTCATCTTTCTTAACTATCATGTCAATGTGATACTGTGAAAAATGAATAAGCTCTAGATTTAAATTATCATTCCAGTACATTGCCAAACCACCACTTCTTCCTCTACTACCTACAGTATAACTTCTATTGAAACCAAAAGAATGAGCTAGATTCCTAGCCCTCAACCCTCCAACTTGAGTTTCTTGAAGGCAAAGCACTGAGGGGGCAAACCGTTGCACAAGCGTGCGTAGCTCTCGAACTGTCGCGTCGTTGCCAATCCCGCGACAGTTCCAGCTCATAATACTCATTGGACCCGGCG